ATGCACAAGATAGTGCGATGTAATGCACAAAATAGTGCGCTGCAGGGTAAAATGCACAAGATAGTGCGATGTAATGCACAAAATAGTGTGATGTAAGATGAGATTATGCGGTGAAGGCACGAAGTGAGATTATTGTGTGATAAATTGCATAGAATGAACAAGTGAACAAGATTACAAATCAATATAGTGACAACTCATGTTCCGGCAAGATAGACAACCGATGCTTGATGTTAATTGAAAGCATGTTCTATGCAAGAGACAAGAGCATATTCTATGCAAAATTGAAAGCATGTATTATGAAAGAAACAAGAGCATATTCTATGCAAGATTAAAAGCATGTTCTATGCATGATTGAAAGCATATTCTAAGCAAAATTGAAAGCATATTTTATGCATGATTCATAAACGATGCAAGGCACGCGCACAACATGAGTATATGTGAAAATGCACATTCTATGCAATAGAAGAGAACAAAATATGTAATTTTGACACAACGACAGATCGAACAAAAGATGTTGTTCAGCGACAACCTCTGATTTACCTCTCGGAGACTTTGTAACATGCTCAAAAGGATATATCCTGTTCATATTGGCAAGGGGTAACATCTGCAAGCTGTTTTGATTGTCATTTTGACTTGAAACAAGCTTGAACTTGGGGTCAAGGTACACTCATACTCTAGAGAAATGGCGAGGCCTGAGAAGGTGCACCTGGAACGTAGTCTTGGAATTTGCTAGAGTTGAAACACATTAAGATGCTCCAAATTTTCCCTCTTTTTCTTTTATTTTGCAGTCTGGAACCTATGTAGCTTCAGATAAGTCCTGGTTCTATTGCTCTCACTCCTAACCTGGGTTAAACCCTGCAGTTTATGAAAGAAAGAATTTTGTTTTGCAGATCATGTTGAGAATGGCACGGCACTTTGAGCACAAAATAATTTATCTTGGAAATTTAAAATTGAGAAATGAGTTCTTAACCAGGTATTGAGCCTACGACTGACTGCAGTCAAAATGACTCAACAAAGGAAAACAAAGAAAAACAACCTAAACACAAATATTTACACTCACAACGACTCAAAACAAGAATCAAGACAAACAAAAACAACAAACACAACACTCATATATGTTCCAATGGCGAGAGACCTCTTGGTTCATGGGAAGCCTGCTTCTCCAGGTATTGTTTCCCACCATTTCTTATTTGTGATTGTCACATCACTTTGGCACTCAATCTCTATTTTCTCTAAAAATCCCTTTCCTTACTTTTCCTCTTAGCGTACATCTCTCTATTCTTTAATCTCTCTTATTTTTATATCCCTCTCTTGAGTGGTTGATGGATAAGCATCAAGTTGTGGGTTCTTGCCCCTAGTATTATACTAGATTCTCATTTTTTTGCTCACAACTAGTGAGCTCTCAAACAGAGGGGTTGTGGCGCAACTAGATGTTCAGCAGATCTGTAACTAACATCAGTTGACGATGCTCTTGGCTAGTTTGGATGTGATCAGACTTGTCCACATGAGAGAGTGGAATACCCTGCTCCATTTCCAGTTCGTGCTTTACACTTGGCTTGGTACCTCATCGCTTGGAGGATGAGAGAGTCTTCGGCCCTCTGTTGTTGGCTTCAGTTGTACCCTTTCTGGCGAGTACGTTGATAATGGGGAAAAGACAGAAAACTTGACTCAACTATGCCCCTAGTTCATCATTTTGACCATTTTTTTTTTTGGCTTTCTGCTAAAACAATTTTAACCAACATGAGAGTTAGATTAACATACTTGTTCGATTTTCTGAGTTGAAATCATGTAAGTCAGGTTGGGAGTACTAAAAACTTTCCTTTTTTGGGTCCAAGATATGGTCTAGTTTTGGAAAAATAGAATAATTTTTGAGAAAATTAGTCAACTTCATTAAAAAATCCTCAAAATTGTTTTTGCAAATGGCCATTGCTCAACCAACATGGAATTTACTCTTGAGATGTGCAATCTCAGATCTGAACTTGATTTGTCTTGCAGCTGAATCTTTCTAACGGAATAGGACAGTTCGATTTTGAACGAAGCTGAGCCAATTTGCACATGGATAGGATAGCTAAGTTTGAACAAGGATAAGCCAATCAACATGGATGAGCCAAGCAAGCTGAAAATGGTTGGGGCCGAACTTCAAGATGAAGTTGCCTACGTATCCCAAAGATGGGAATCAGGTCGTATGTAGTTCCGGGTTAAGGTACACTTGGGTGTTGGCACTCTTCTTTTACACTCTAACTTTTGCCGAAGCTGCCCTTTCGGGTTTTCAACCTTGCGAGCTCTCTTTTTCTTTTCTTTTCTTTTCATTTTTCTTTCTTCTTCTTTTCTTGTCTTCTTTTCTTTTTCTTTCTTTCCATTTTTTCATTTTTTTTTTTTTCTTTTTCTTTTCTCTACTCTAACTTTTGCCTGGGTTGCCCTTCCAGGTTTTTAGCCCAGTGAGCCTCTCAAGGATAGAAAATTTTAACTTGTACATGTTGAATGGTCATAGGATCTCTAAGCCATCTGAATCCATGAGAATGGTTGTTGCTGCTGACTAAATAGTCTTGATGATGTAAGAGCCCATCCAATTGGATCTGAATTTGCCCCTAGTGTTGTGGATATGAACTTGATTGTCCTTCAACAAAAATTTTCTTTTTTTCTTTTTGTGGGATTTTTGCTTTCTTGTCGATCTCCATTGATTTGTAGAATGACCCATCTTTGGAATCTTTGAGCACATCTAACATTTTTGCCCCTAGTTCAAGGGCTACTTTTGATATAGCTTTGCAAGCTTCCTTTGATGACATTTGACCTTCTTGATCTAACATTCTTGCCCTTAGTTCAAGGGTTGCTTCCGGTCTGGCTATACAAGCCTTATATTGTGATTAATCATTTGAACATTCTGAGTCAAGGTTCAAAGGTTTGAAAACAAAGGGGCCGAGTCTTAAGGCTGAGAGCGATCCTATGCTGCACAATCTCGAGAGTGATTCCACGCATGTCTTCGTAGGACCACACAAAACATTTTTTGAAATCTTTTAATAAAGCGACTAGTTGCTCAGGCTCCTCTGAAGACAATGCAGAATCAATCTAAATCAAGACAGGATCCTTCTTAGTACTCACATTAACAAACATAATCTCATTCATTTAAGGGCTTAGCATGCCTCTCTTTCTCTTAGTCGATCAAATTTTTGCAAATTCTGAGGAATTCCTTCCTCTTTGTTTTCATCATAGTGGTAGAAAAGTTTTGAAAAACTTAGGTTAATGCAATGATTTCAAGGCACAGAAAAGTAAGTGAAAATCTCCGCCATTTCATTCAAAACTTTTGGCTCAACTGGCTCCATGATAGAAACAAACTTAAAAGAAAGAGCGAAAAGACAAAGAAAACAAACAGGGAAGTAATGCTCGAGTTAATACGCTCGAAATCACCAACCTTCGACGCAACAAGACAGACTCCAAAGAAAAAGACTGACTTAATACAAAAAACTCACTCAATACAACACAACAAGACTGACCCAATACCTAAGTGATGCTCGAGTGTCGACCGGCTAGAATTGGTGGCCGACCGTCCACTAATGGTGGCCAACCGTCCACAGATGGTAATTTTCAGCCACAGAAAAATATGCTTCCAGGCCCGACTTCAAATGGGCATATCTCCCTCATCTGGACTCCGTTGCAGGTTATTCTTGAGTGTAAATTGAAGCCCCATAAGTCTACTTTCCAATGGTGGTAGCTCACATCTAAATTCTTAGTGTGTAAAGAAATATGCCTATTTTAGTGAAGGTTGCTCATTTTTGTCTTAACCGGATGGATGCCTAACGTCCAACAACCATATCTCCCTCATCCAGACTCGGGTTTAGAAGATTCTTTAGTGTAAAATGAAGCCCCAAAAGTCCACTTTCCAATGGTGGTGGCCTCATAGCTTAAGTCCAAATGTACAAAAGGATAGACTTGATTTAGTGAAGGCTACCCGGTTCTCTCTTAACGGTTTATGTCCAACTTCTTCCCCAACTAGGTTTCTTCCCTCTCCTCTAATTTTCTTCAACTCCAAACTTCTAAATAAGATGTTTTAAAATATTTTTGAAAGAGTTCACCTCTCTTCTATTTATTTCCACTTTGTCCTTGCCCGGTTTACCGAAAAGTGCATTTTTTAACAAAATGCGAGTTTCGGAACATCGTAGAAACTTTTGGGGAAAATATTTTGAAAAAGGGGATTTTATGGTCTAAAATGATTTTGGTCAAATTAGTTTTGGTCCAAAATGGGGTGCGAGGTTGGGATTTAGAAGCTCTTCTTGCTGAAGGGATCGAACATTTGCGCAGCACAACTTTCATCATCGAGTGATCAATCAGTGACACCCAAGTTTTAAGGGCGGCAAAAAATGGGGTGTCTACAGCCGAAGAAATACTCACTAGGCTAAAACCGCCCGAGTATAGTGAGATCAAGCTTGTCTTCAATGGAATTAAATGAATGCAACCAAAAGTTTGCTCCATTATTGATTCTTGCCTATTATAAAATCATAAATGAGCATTACTTATAATCTAAAGCAACTTGATAATGCAAATACTATAAGAATTTTTAATGAATAATCTATATGTTCAAATTAAGTATTTGATTACAACAAGACCCTAGATGACATAGCCCTAACTCCTAAACCAGGAAAGGAAAACACAATCACACCTATACACAATCACACCTATAATTTGTACAACCACAATCATGCTAAATATAGAATATACACAATACACAATATATTCTGACACACTCAAACTCAAGGTGTTTTAGCAGAAAACATTGAGAGTTTGCTAAGAAGAAATTGAAACCAAGCGGTAGTGTGAGTCTTAGTAAAGAAGTCCGCAAGTTGCGAAGCCAAATAGAAGAATGGAAGCGAGATAGAGCCAGAGTGCAAATGTTGTTGGACAAAGTGACAATCAATCTCGATGTGTTTCGTTTGTTCATGGAAGACAACATTGTGGACAATCTGAATAGTATTGTGGTTGTGACAATAGAGAGAGGTCGGAGAAGACTAATGGACACCAAAATTAGACAGGAGACAACGAAGCCAAACAATCTTAGTAGTGGCATAAGCTATAGCACGATACTCAACTTTGGTAGTAGAGCGATCAACAACTGATTGTTTCTTGCTTTTCCAAGAGATCCAGGAATCACAAAGAAACATACTAAAACCAAATGTAGACTTGCGATCAATAACATCACCAATCCAATCAGAATCAACATAGGCGACGAAGTCCAAAGAGAAAGTAGAGGACAATAGTAAGCCTTGAAAGATGGTACCCCTGAGATAGCGAATAATATGAGCCAAAGCAGCCCAATGGTTAGAGTAAAGAGCAGAAAGGAATTGACCAACCATATGAACAACATAAGCAATATCAGGACGAATAACAGTCAAATAATCTAAATGACCCACAAGCTCTTAATAGTGAGGGGATTAATAGTGATGAATTGTTAAATTATTTTTATATAAAATAATAAAACAAATAAAAAAATATAAAAAAATAAACATTATATTTAAAAAAAAATTCCCAATATATAAAAAATATAAAAAAATAAAAAATTTCTAATCTCCTCACTATTTTTCTAATACCATCTCTATCTCCTCCTTACCAATCCCCCTTCCTCCTCCTTGCTAATACCAAGGGATTACTAATCCCCTCCCTATCTCTCAAAACAAACACTCCATTCTCAATCCCTTCCTCACTATCAAACCCAATCCCCTCTCCATAATCCCGAACAAACGGGGCCTTTGAGTGTTCGGTGTGTTTAGTGTGGAGGAGAGAGTTATACTATGTGCTATTGCCACAAAAGAAACTTCTTTTGCCTGGGCAAAAGCAACCGTGATTATTAGAATTGATAGTCCAGACGTAGGGGTGTTTGGTAGGAATTACATAAGTAGTTTATAATTTATTTTAATTTGAGAGTTTCTATCAAATTGATATAGTTTTTACTTATAGCTTATTAGGTAGAAATAATTTAAATAAGTTGAAAAAGTTAATTTTTCAAAAGTTTAGGGAGATGTACTTTTAGTTTCTAGTTTCTGATTATCAGTTTTTAGTTTAAAGGGTAAATTACACTTACACCCAAGGTTTTGAAAAGCGGTTGCAGTCACCATAACGGTGGCCGTAATGCAGTTGCAATTACGGGGTGTAAAGGTCATAGCGTAACGGTTGTGATAACCGGAACCGTGAATTTTTTTATTTTTTACACAATTTGAAAAAAATTTATCGATACGTATATTTTTTTTTCCATGATCATATTTATTGGGTTTTAAAATAAATATTGATCAATTTTGTATATTTTTAAGTATGATCTAATATATTTTATATTTTTAAATCACTATAAACTGAGTTTTTTACATTTTATTTTAATAATTAATGACTTTATATTATACACAAAATCAATCACTAACTATTATATATAAGATAAACAATGACAAAAGTAAGAGAATAAATAAGAGCTTAAATATATATTTATATATTTTCTAATCAAGTCAAATAGATAATGACCACACTTATTATTATTATTATTATTTTCAAACAATATATAGATAGACACACAAACAAAATGGTTGAGTGATGGCAACTGAATAGAATAACATAGGTCTTATAGCTTCAACAAATTAATAACATACTTTTCATCTTCCATCTTCTCTCTCTCTCTCTCTTTATCTTTTGCTCCTCCATATTCTCTCTTGTCTCTCTATCCCTCTTTTCCCAATTTCAGCTTTTTTTTGTGTTTTTTTTCAAAAGAAGCAGTTTCGAACCGTTACATAACAATGCGTAACAAGCCGTTATGGCGACATTACAACTGCTACAGCAACTGCTACAGCCAACACACTTGTGAATCTCAATCACACTACAAAAGCGGCCGTAACGGGTGACAATAACCACCACAACCGTTATGTAATGGCGTTACGTAACGGTTGTGGCCAGTTTTTAAAACCTTGCTTACACCCCTGAGATTTGGATTTAATATATATCACATCTGACGTTTCGAAAATTACACTAACCCTTCTGTCATTGTAATTATTTAAACGGAATGAAAATATTGAACTCATGTACTTTTTTTTTTCTTACTTTGCTTTACTTTTCTTTTCTCTTTTTTTTTAAATGTAATTTTCTCTGTTTTTTTGTTAGAAATTGTTACATTTTATATAAGTAGGAGTTTGTGAAATGAGACTATTAATTGCATGGGTAATAATGTAATTTCTAGAATGTCAAAGGGGTGTGTCAGTATGATTTACCCAATTTTTAAAATAATTTTCACCAAACATCCCATAGAAGTTAAAAATATCTTTTAGCCAATTTAAATTTTTTTTAAATTTATTTAAATTATTCTTACCTAATAAACTATAAGCAAAATCGTACCAAATAGTCTACTATGAATTTTTAAAATAAAAAAATATATATATATAACTCAAATAAATTACACCAAATACTATAAGATCTTAATTTGATTTTTGAATTTGTTAATTTCTAATAAAAATCTGACAAACACCGCTCATGTTAGTGATAATGTTGAGTTGTTAAATTAATCATTTTATAATTTTAACTTTAAAAATATTATAACATTTAATATATATATTTTTGATCGAATCTATATTTTTAAATTATTTGTCAGTATTTGTCAAATTAGATCTATGTTTTATATCAAACTATGAATAAAAATTAAAAAAAAAATCACAAATTTTGCATGAAATTTTTTAATACAAAATTTATTATTGAATATAGTTTTTTTTAACAAATTTTTTCGAAGGGAATAAATAATATAAAGTTTATGAAAAACGGATATGCAAAATTAAAATTGTGAATTTTAAAGTTTTGAAATAAATGAAAAAGTAACTTCCTAATCCCTTATTAATGTTTTGTGCAACAATAATTCACGTATGAAATTTGATGGGTTTAAAAATATTTTATGAGACCTAATTCATACAATAAAATCTCATTAATTCATATAATCGAATTGGAAACATATTTTCTTTTAATGATTGAAGATGAATGAAATGGCATGACATTTATTCATTGTAAATACAATATTCTCTCTCTACACACAATATCTCTATCAGTTATAGTATATCATTATCAATGATTAAAGAAATGATGGTATGCAATGGAGCATGAAGTTGAAAACAATTGAAATTTCTCTTTCCCATTGTGATATAAATATTCTTTAATATTTGAAAACAATTGAAAGAATAAATTGGAATAACATATGCATAAAATGTTTCCCTCTTCCACTGTCATGTCAATGTTAAAGATTGAAGGAATGATGGAACATAATGGAACACAAAATTCATAAGAATTATAACGTGTTATTTATCAAACTTAAATGATTTGAGCTCTTTCAAATTAAATTAAGTTTTGTCGTTTAATCAAATGAAATCAATTGTATGATTTTTTTATTATTATTCTACTATATCAATGATTGTATGTAATTATTGCATACTAAATTGTGCTCGTTTGCATTACTTGCAAAAGTTTGAGGGGCCACATTCCTGGACATCCATCCTTTGGTTATCAAAAAAAGGTTGCAAAGGCAAGAACTTTTCCAGGAAAAGAAGATCATTAATATCTTGATCAAGACTGGCTTTTTACCATTATCACATTAGTTTTAATGTCGCAATTACACATAGAAAAATATTTTTTATGATATTTTTTTTTCCATCAAAACAAATAGAGCATTAGTAGAAGTCTTAAGTTTGCAGTCAAAGGTCTAAAACTTCACCTGAAAAAAGCCAATATTGCCATGGATTTCAGTAATGTGAAGAGCATTTTAGCATTAGGATCATGGCAATAGGAAAACTGACACACACACACACACACACACACAAAAGAAAAAAGAAAAAAGAAAAAGAAAAAGAAAAAGAAAAAGAAAAAGAAAAAGAAAGAGACTACCAGAACAGGTTCATCATAACATATAAGATTAGTTCAAAACACAAATGTCAAACTGAAATTAAAACAAAACATCTCAGAACCTCACAACAAGCTATCTGCTTTTGTAGGCAACCTTCTGAAGAAGTTAAAAGGTGACGAATGGAGCTTATCACGAAACCTTGGATGCCTCAAAACATATAATACCAGAAGAACACATAACCCTTGGATGGGAGTGAACCAAAGCACCACAGCCGCAACCAAACAGGATATCATAAACAGAGCTGTGGCTCTCGGATCACGCCAGCTCAGCAAAGAATGAAACCTCTCCCCTTGTGTTGCCAAATCCCCAACCACTGTCTGCATCCTTGCTGCAATACATCTCAATCTGTTGTACCTCGTCTTCAAAACATCAGCTTGCCTAGAAGACAGAAATGAATCAAACTCTTCATCTAATTCATCAACAGTCGCTGTATCAGCGTGAGAGAGACTCGCGTCCATGTGAGGAGGGTGTCGCGGCCTCTTCCTATAGTTCAAAAGCCCCACCAAAAAAAGGGATAGTAAAATTGTAGTGAAAATCATTTTTGGGTAGATGATTATTATCAAGCACCATATGTGGATGAACACCGTCTTGAAAGGGTTTTTCCACAAGCGTATCTCATCAAACGATCTATTAACTGTAACAAGGCCAGACAAAACATCGGTAATCCTACAAATATTGGCTCTGCTTTTTCGCATACTCCACATGTGTGAGCCTACGTCGAGCACGTACTCAACAACCTCTTTTCTCAATGGAGGCTCAGCCCGGCTCATCCTCATTGCGATGATTTGAGTTGCCTGGTGCCTTAAGGTACCTTGCTGAAAAACAGACAGTGGGTGAAGATAATGCATTTTTGGCAAAAGGGGCTGTGCATACAATTGGAGCATATTGTACAAAGATGAGTAAGTAAACCTCACAGCTAATTGAATCTCTCCCATCTTCTTCACCCCATTGGAATGTAAGACTATGAGCGGATACGAATGTGTGTAAACGCGATCACTTTCAAGCATTGATAACCGAATCCTCACTTTCCCAATTCTTGCATCCTGCACTCCATCCTTATCTTGCAAATGGCAGTTATCAAATACAACAATTGTAATGGCAGTGCAATGATCAAAAACTTCCCATGTGTATTGCTCGTTCCATTTTGGATTGAAACTGTCTATGATTGTTCTTGTGCGAATCCATTTCTGCCCATATTTAGCCACGCAATAGGCGTCTGCAGTTCCTCGACCATCCTTCTTCTTCATTGCTGACAAGCCTTGAGCACTCAAAATCCCCAATTCGAACACCCCAATACCCGGTTTACACAATTGCTTCATTGTAGCCCTCAGATCGCTGCTATATTGAGTCAATTCATCGAGGACATGGTACCCACCATCCAAGCTGATCCTGGTACGAATCCGACCCACAACCTTCCCCTCTTGCTTCTCAATATTGTACCATCTACTATTCACACATTCACATTCAGTCCTCTTCTCCACATTCTGTAAAAGAACCCTACATTTCCCCAAAACTTCATCCTTATTGGGTGCCACTCTATCCTCCACACTCATAACCAACTCTTCCTCAAAGGGCTCTGCAGCAACAAACATCAAGTCCTCATTCCACATCGGATTCACATTCTTGTTTTGTGAAATTTTACTTATCATAACAACATTCCCAAAAACAACCTTAACAAACACTTCCAAGGGCCTATTCTTGTCACTTGGCTGCAAATCTTGAGCCTCAATCACATTCACTCTAAGATACCAAAGCTTGGGGGATAGATATACCTTTGATCGAATATTGGCCACGCCATCGCCACTAACCCCAGCAGCATCCAAATGCCAAGCATCCGGGAAGGCCTCATCGGCTTGAGTACCCATCCACACAGCCACCATCAACTCTCCTCTAATCCTTTGCCCATTTTTGTTCTCCAATTTGTACCATTGCGGCGCCAAAGGGCTATCTGGTGGAACCCTCTTCGGAACATCATAGATTTCAAACACAATCTTGCCAATGTAATCATCCCTATTATCCATATCCTTATCCTTCACAATGATATCAACGGAAGTGGAATGAATTCGATCTTTCAAGAATGCAAATACTTGGTTCCATTCTGGGTTGGGTTTGTTTTCGAAATGCTTTGTCACACCCTTGTAGTTTCCAAGCTTCAGTTCAACAAAAGGATCACAAGAAGAACCGTTGGCATTGGCATTAGCATTAGTATTAGCATTAGCATCTTTTGGAGGCAATTCTTTGGCC